CCGCTTTAGAGGTAAGATCATTTCTACCCCCTCCCCACACGCACAGAACGCGTGCACATCTATTTCACGCTACGCGACATCCTGGTTGCTCACTGTCCTCGTTGTTCGGTTGGTCTCAACCCCGGTTGTAACGATTGTGGCCGATTATAGTGTTATTAACGATTTGAGACGTCGTGTCTCGCTCTAAAACCTGATTGTGTATCCCATTATTCCCCCATCTCACCATCTAGCTGAGAAATAATTTCAGTTGTGTTCATAGAAAAATGGATAGTCGTTCTCTAACAGAAGTAATCACTCTACGTCGCTTCCGATGGCTTGGTCACGTATTGCGTATGCCTGCCCATCGACTACCTTTCCGTGCTCTCTTCACACGTGCCGGGCAAGGCTGGATGAAGCTGCGTGGTGATCAGACCATGACATGGCGTAGAGGCATGAAGAAGTTGNAGCTTTGGCTTCGTTTGGTGCAGCCCACCTTCCAGATTGGGGCCCCAGGGATGAGGATTGTCGTTGCTTAGAGACGTAGAGCGATATGTCCCAGCAAAGAAATCAGTGGCGCGAATGCTGTACGGTCTGCTTGTTGAAATCCCGTGCCCCGTAAAAACAACAAACAACACCGAAAGCATCAAAAAGTGTACGGTGAAACACAAAAATACTTTGTTAACCCAGTTACCTACCATTTTTCCGTGTTTTACTCTTTTCACTCTCTTTCCACTTTGTTCTGTATCCAAATCCACCTGCCCCTATTATTGTTATTGTTATTATTGTTGTGGCGTTGATACCATGCTTGTCTACATGCCCGTGTCACATATATATATATATATATATATATATGCATATTGAAAAATGGAGCCTACTCTTGAGGTGATACTGTAATCTATCCTAATCGCGACGCTCGTTTTCGACCGCCTTGCGAACCACCTCGCCCGCAGTTTTTGTCTTCGTAGACCGGACTAACTCACTCCTTCCTTGCCGTTTAGCGGGTATTTAGAGATATTTCAGTTTTGCTTGTTCCAGTCACTATTCGACTATTCAAGGTTCAGTTGTTGCTATATCTGGTATTGTCAGTGTAGCAGTCACTCTTTACGTTTCCCGGTAGACTTCATATGCCTGTGTTTAAGTTGGGTTGGTGATTGGAATGTGAAAAGATCAACCGTATCAGTCTGGCCTCGTACCTCAGCTGGTGGAATATGCCCTTACAAAAGCACAGGCAGCGTCCATGTATGGGCTCGAATCCTTCCGAGAGCTACTGACCATTTCACAATGACACTTCAGCCGACCAAGCAACAATGAGATTTTGTTCTTTACATACCTTCTTGTCATGATTATCTATAGAAAGATTGTATCTTCTAGTTACAAGGACCCACTGTTGCATGATGGAAACCGACGACTTAAACTGTAGAACGTAGAGTAATCAAACCGGAGGGCCCCGTTGGGATAAATGTAGTTTCGAACCAAAGAACAGTAAATTTGTCTATCTATCCCAACATGTCTATAAAACAGCAGAAAATGGTGCACCATCCAGGTGAATATATGTTTTTGGTTAATTCCGCTTCAAGGCTTCACAGTTACATTAATATAAAACAGAATTTAGTAGAGTTGTTCAAACTGAACTGAACTGAGAGTCAAACCGTGAAGTGGATTAGTCATGTGTGTGGTAATGAATCCAAGAGAACTCTAGTTTGAAACGCTGTTAGAAAATAAACAAAATCGTCAATGTATTTCTTNTTTCTTACTTGGTCACATAGTACAGGGATTATGTTTGCCCATCATACAAGTCTGTTGACTTTCAACCCACATATTTGATGGTGCCACGAGTGACTGTGCAGAAAATTACTTTCAAATAATGCTCTCCTCTAGGTTGTATAAATGCAACATTCTCTCAACCAAATAAATCGCAGACGATACATTTAAATGAAAAGACCTTGGTATGAAAACAAAGCTACACAAGCCTTTTTTGACTTCTTCACCTATTCCCTGATGTTCCGGACTACATGTAATGTTCGCACATATATATATTCTTATACTGATTGAAGCCGTGCTCATCCGCTCTTTTTCATTCGACCCAATTACAACAGGCCATACTCCGTTTGGTTCCAGTCTACCAGACAGACACAAGTCTTTGTGAACGTGATATCGGTATTGTACGCCTGCTGGCCACAATCCACGCCTATTCGACAACCCAAACTGGGCGTATGGAACGCCTGCGTGCGGTACAAGCATTGACCAATGGTACTCCTGCTACCACAATCACAGAGCCGAATTCCTCAAGCTCCAGCTCGGGATCAGCCTCCTCCTCCTCCTTGGTGCGCACCCCAGCCCCGATCGAACCGGCCCCGCGTTGCCCGGTTGCCGAAGTGGCCGCACTCGTGCGCCTGTCCTTCCACCCGGAACACAGAACAGCGATTTGCGAGCTGGGTAAGTTGATTGAGTCAGTTAAGGTCATTCGCGAAGCGGCCCGTGCGCGCGTGCGCTCACTCACACAAATCTGAACAATGGTAACCAAGTGTTTCTGCCTTCTGCGCTGTGGAGCGGCGAGTCATTCTGTTTCCAACTTTGTTCTCATTCATATCTTCGTTCTCCACACCTGGGTGATCAGATGATGATGATCATCTACCTGCTCTTGAAATCTTTGCTTTCTGTCCCGTGCCGAACTAACTCCAGCAGGGACCTCTGGTGTCTGGTTTAAAGAGATACATATGGAAGAATGTGGTTGGTGGTTCAGGTCTTTAAAGCTCTGTCTCTGCATGTTCAATTTGACCACCTTTGATAATTCCCCATCCACTTCCTGCCTCGGTAAGCAGCGCCCTTCGCGGCCATCTGCTCATTGACATGCCTAACGCGTCAGACGCAAGGTAATGTATGAATACCAACCACTTCCTGCTCAATCAGGCGATCGAACTACCCAAATCTCTGTGCGGCGCTGCTAGTTCGGTTTCCCTAGCAGACTCGTGCAGTGCTCCGTATAGAGTGGAGTTCCAACACTGACAACCTGTCGTTACCCTGTTCCCATCATGGTCAAATCTCCGCACCGTATGGTAGCACTGACCAAACTGCTACAGCTTACACTCAACCCTTCACAGACAGCCGGATGTCATGACCGCACCACAGGTGTCTTAATTTGGCAAATGCCAGTCGATCGCTCTACCTGTGCGCTAAAACTTCAACAACAAGCGCAAGTGGACAGCACGAGCGACCCAGATGAGTGTTTGTTGCAGCAAGCACAATGGCGAATGAGGGTACCATGCAATTTAAGGTAGAGTGTCACGGTTCGTCTTATTCATGCATTTTCCTGTAACGCGCGCACCGCTCCGGGCATTTATACTGCTTTCTCACTTCGCGTTTTTAACCGGAAGAAGGAAAATAGAATTCAATAATGGTACTCGGTTTTTTTCGCTCCCCATCAGTTTCAGCACCGTTACAATAGTCACCTGAAAGTGCAACACTGGTGACGTTATGGATTAAGCGAAATTTTTGGTCACTCAATTAGAACGACTTGTTTGACGTTTATTTGTAAGGGTCATTGGTTGTTTCACCGTTTAGCGTTTTCACCAACTATTGCCAAAACTGTATCTCCTAGGAGTACTATGGAATGTCTTGAGCAAGAATGCCGAGGTTAGATACTATTTATTTGTTGTTCCTTCGCCAAAATGCATTGTGACTGGATAGTCATTGTTACGGAACGACGTCAAGCCTAATCAATCCCTAACTGTGCGTGAAAGCGTGTACCATATCGTGTAGATCCTATACTANCTATACTAATATCATATGCCTCCTGATTGGAAGCAACTATTGGTGTGACCCATTACCGTGTATAGTGGAGCATTCTTTTCCCATGAACATGCTAATTGAGTTTCAATTGGATTGTCTGCCAGTCACCACTAATTAAATCCAAACACGTTGGTGGAACTGAAACCAGTAGAGTTCCGACCTCGACTGTGTTCTTTTGTGGAACTCATTAGACTAACCAGACGAATTCCGAACCATTGGTGTCACGTGCCTACTCGTTTATTTTATCCCATGCATAAACGGCGTCACGCCAAACAGATCTTGGTCGGTTATCGGTATTTGGAAATGTCACTGACCGTTACGATTCAAAGATAATGTGTCATATGCCATTCTAACTTTCATAAATCATTCGAGTTCGCCGCGGGATTGGTTTGAAATCAGACATTAGAGGGAATAAATGCAAATTTAGATGAGATTTTTGTTCATCCAGAGTCCATTTCCGCCAATAAATAATTCTTGTTTATGTTTTTCGCCAATACTTCATTCCATCGAACTCTACTTATTATCTTTGTATCACGGTGTTTCAATGCACTTTACGTTCTAGCCAGGATTTGGTTGGGATGTATTTGTGATGGTGAGCAGAATTGAATCAATACCACAGATTCTTTGCTGTTCCAGACGAAAATAATTTTCGACCGAAAAATGTTCTGAAAATTCGACTGAATCTTTCATTTGCGATTTGGTCTTCCAATTGGTTTCTTTTGTTGGACGTCTCACTCTGATGTGAAATCTTTTCAAATATCCGTGACGATTTGGGAAACTCCCGCAGTGAACCCTGACGTTTCTGTTCTCCCGAAATCCTATGGTTGGTTACTCGATAGAATTAGTAGATCAGTGTCGAACTTCTAGTCCATGGTCACCGAACGGCTACGATGTAGGTGGCGGTCGAGTGTTAAAGGTTACCGACCTTTTGCTCTGAGTTACCTGTGTTCGAATCCCACCACCGTCTAACTTCCCTCGATGTGTGTTGTACGGCAGCTCTTTGCTTGGCCGCTTCCCCCTTCCTCAAAAGTGTATCATTATTTATTCAATAAAAAGAAAAATGAAAGACATAGGTAAGAGATGCATTGTACCTTCTAAGTTTAATTTGCAGTGACTTTCCTGTCCCCGATCAGAACTTGTGGTGATGAATAACCATTTGTTACTTCCCACGTGAAAGCAACCTACCCATCTGCCCTCACATGTTTGATATCGGATTCGTATTGGAGTCCATTCGTCTAGACGTCTTCTTCTTTGGGGTGTTTTTGTTTACAATCAATCAATCGCAGCTTGAAGTTCTGATGAACAGGTCTACTCGCACTACACCCTATCCTTCGGAATATCACTCTTATATTGGGAAACTAGTTTTCATTCAGTTTTCCCGAATGGGTCTTAGGTTTAAACGTCTCTGTTTACTGGTTGAGCAGAACGACCGGGTAAGGAGTGGAGTTTTTTTACGTGGTCGCAGGCACGCACTAAAACTAACAGTTAGGCTTCCCTGGCTTTTGATATTGGCCGAAAAAGGCCATTGACGACTAACTGTCACGACGATGCTTCGACTCGACGTAGCGTAATGGCCTACTTACCTCCGTGATCCATCGATCTAAACGGGATCTCTGTTCCCACTCTTTAGATTTTATCGTGGTTGAAAAGTCAATGAGTAGAAATCAAACACAACCCAGTCTCAAAACGGAACCTGCTTTCTCGGACCGCCCACCGTGGCCCCCTCAAAGAAGTGAGTTCAGCAAACAAACACAGGGAAAAGCGATTGAGGGCGGTGGTAGCCAAGTGGTTAGGTCACCAACTTGTGACCTGGGAGTCTGGGGTTCGAACCGCTCCACCGCCACCCGTCTTCTCAGACAGCCTTTGTATGGCCGCGGCCCTCCTTCCTGAATGTTGACTGTACATTTGTATATTCAATAAATAAAAAGAAAGTAAAAATACTTATTATTTCAAAACACTTCGCTAGAAGGCCGGAGAAGTAAAGTATCTGGGTCGACCTCTCGACGATGGAGAAGTCTCCTATTTCATTTTACACACTCAACCAATTCAATGCCATTACAGGCTTCTCTGGTATGCCATATATTTGACAAGCTGACCAAGGGACTTACTCATCCAGATTGCATTAGACTTTTTGATTACGGCCTGCATTTTCACTCTTATCAAAGAGTGTGCACACTTGATAATGTGACCAAGTGTTGTAAACGATGGTGCTCTTGCATCTACTCACTATATGCACTCCCTTATTTTACCTATCCCTTTATCTTCAATTGATTCTAGCTTTTCTCTTTCTTATTCTTCATTATTTTTTGTTGAACAAATGGGTAACGAGAAAACAGCACTCGAAACTGGCACACGATAGTGCTTTCAAAAAGTGACTCGAACTGGTCATACCTTAAATTGGCACATGTCTATCACCGACCGGTACCCTGACATCTATGTATTTCGATACATTTCGATCAATTATGTCCCTGTCTTCCGTTGATATACCGAAATGAAACAGCTTTCTAAATAGATCATGATTTGTACCGAGATGAATACTCTGTTTTTCTCATTTTTTCCGAATCCATTCTTTGACAGTTGGCTTATGGATCGGTCTACTCACATTTGATCGTCATCATCATCAGTTCAGTTTACATCACATGTTTTTCCCTTCAGTGTTTTTGATTTGAGACTCCCTCGTCCGCATTGGAACACAATGTGACACCATATTGGGTGGTCTGATGGAGCGGCTCTAATCAGACCTGTCATAAATCCAATTATTCAACTCCATTCGCGATGACAATCGTGACCATC